CCTACATCGGTCACCACAACCCATGCATATACTACAGTGGGCGAGAGCTCAGTTGCAGGAAATAAACCCCATTCATCTACTTCTGCTTGGCAGTCATTAACCCTGGATTGAAACCACTAAGGATGCCCTGAAGGTACCCCCAAAACTGCTCAAAACTGTTTTCTAGCATATGCAGAAGTTGGGAGAGCAGGACATCTTTACCCTCTCATTTCTAGGGTTAATGCCTTTGGAGTGGGAACTGATAGGTGGGACTTATTTCCTCAGTGGCACATGGCACATTGTCACTGCAGTGTGGATATACCCCTAATTCCTGCAGCATTTGAGCTTTCTACTAAAGTCATAAATGCTTCTGGACTCCAGTTGCAAGGAAGATGCCATCAGAGATGATGCCTTCAAAAATGCCTGGCCAAGCTGCTCCTCCACATCTGCAGCAGGGGTTCCCAAATTATAGTACATGTACCCCTGGGGGTACGCAAGACATCTCTGGGGGGGTATGTGGGAGAAATTGTATAATGGCAGATTTAATTTTCATTATAATAATAACTGACATTTAAAGGGTTTAAAATATAAAATGTATGGTGGTAGGGGTACATGGGCAGCTTGTAAGTCTGGAAAGGGGTATGCAATAAGAAAAAGTTTAGGACGCTCTGATCTATAGCAACAGTACCATTAGAAACAGAGGGAATAATTGCCATTCATCTGAAAAGGGCAATTTTATACTGTAATAGTTTACATGGCAACACTTAATCATCTCACTTCTGACCACCTTAAGCAATGTATTGTATTGATGTCTTTACATATCACATATTAGAGAGAAAACCATCAGGACTCTGGTAAACAGTCCCTGGTCCACCCTTCTTCCAGCTTCTACTTGTACAGGAGTGGGGTGATACGTTGTGAGCTCAGCAACAACACTTTGGACACCCCTGTGTTGAACTAACAGTTATTTATTATCATAACTCTCTGGAATCCTATCCAGGGTGGATCTTAACAATGACCCTCAGTAGATATATGCAGAACTTATACTTGCTCTGCCTCTGACTTGACCCGACCCAGTCCAGTCCGGTGGAGGGAGAGGAACCAAGAAAGCCTCTGGCTCCTGATGGCAGAGAACATGGAGTCCCCAATGCCACAAAACTGCCACAAGCAAACTGAACGCTGCAGTGCTGAACATGAGCGCTTTGGCCTTCAAGGGACAGTACAAGGAAAACACAATAACACACAACATGGGGTACTGAGCAAAATAGGCAACTGGCTAGAGATGGGAGGACTAGATACACTGAGTGCTTGGGTTTCACCAGCAGTCAAGCAGAAGCTCAGTGAGGATTCATCTCTTGGGGGAGGAGCAGAATCTGTTTTGAAGCCGTTGGAGAATTAAATAGTAGCTTGAAGTAGCATGCAGAGTTCTCCAAGGGGCTCTTCAGCATATTATTAGCTTTTTCCTCTCGCTGTGCTGTGATGTGCATTGTAAACAGACTAAAGGAGCCTAACCAAAGGTTATTTGAAAAAGAGAAGAGTGATATCATACACAGACCTACTATTAAGCAAAACCCAAAGAGAGTCAGACAAAAGTTCAGTTAGAATCAATAAACTCAAGATGTTCCGAGACAAGTGTTGAGGAAGAAACCTATTGACTTTTAAGCATCTGCCAAGCACCATACCCAGAGTTACTTAAGGAGGCTGCTGTTTGTGCAGGCTCCTTTGGATGTGCTTCTGCTTAGGAACAGATCCTTTCTTTTTACAAATCAAAAGCAGTGGAGTCAGCTAAAAGATTCAAGCTGATATTTCATATGGGTACGTCAATAAAGCAGAGCCAGCCTTCACAGAATCATGGAGCTAGCAGGAAGATCGTTTTAGTCCAACCCCTTGGCTCAAGGCAGAATTGCCGCTGTCTAAACTATCCCAGATAAACTTCTGTCTAGCCAGCACTTACAGCCCTTCCAGTGATGATCCCAGTCTCTGTAGATGATCTGTTCCAGTATTTAACAATATCCAAACTAAAAGTCTCCTTTGTTGCAATTTAAGCCTATTGCTTCTTGTTCAGCATCTAATGGACAGAGGGAATGAATCACTACCCTCATTATAACAACCCTTTTTGTATTTGTAGACTTATCAAATCCCCACCCCCATCTTCTCTTCTCCAGACTAAATCATCCCAGTTATTCTTACCTTTCCTTTTAATGTCATGGTTTTTACACTTCCAATGATTTTTATTGTTCTTCTCTTCCGTCTTTTCAGTAAGTCCCAGTGACGCATGAAGAGCAGCATTCAAAACTGGATGCTACACTACAGGTGAGGTCACACTAGTGCTAAATAATTCAATTACTGTTGGAAAAACAGGAGCAGTTTCCCTGGGAATATCCATCCCTTGCCCCTTTGTCATTCTGTACCTGCACCCTTCCAGATTTCTACAAGGGCATTAGAAGCAAGCATTCACTTCCCCACTGGTGCCCAGATACATTTACCTGTGTGCAGCGATGAAGGGTAGCCTTCATGTTCCTGGCAACTCGTCAGTATAGCTGTCGTACAGGTTACACGCCACTAGCATATACAGTCCAATGGAACTAAGCATTTCTAGACTGAATTGTGTGTGGCAGGAAAGGGTAGCAGAGAACCTGTATGCAGAGAGGAGAACTGCAGTCATTTCCTTATGTTCCCTAGGACTTTTAAAACACACAGGAGATTGTATCATTTAGAGCTGACGAGAGCTGCATTTATCATGCTTAAGTCCTTGAATTACTACTCTGTGAATATTGACAATACTTCAGCTACAATGAACACATTATAAATATGCAATGCTTTGTCCTCAGAGCTGTCCAACTTGTTACCTGATGGAGAGAAATAGGGAAGCTAACACATTGTTACAAGACTGCTGTGTTCACATGCATGTAAAAAGCCTGTTAATAGATAAGGTGCCAATAGATAACAAGCAACCTAGCCTCATTCATGATCTTGGAGGGTGGTGCACTGCACATGGCTTCCACCGTACAGCTCTGGAGCAGACGTTAGCACCAGACTTCTCTCCCATCAGAGTCCTGCTCATGGTTTCTCAGGTACACCTCACTGGCACACCTATTTTTATTTCCCTTTTACAGCACAGGCCTGCTTCTCTTGCCTCATATACCAATGTGAATCAGTGGAATGGCACTTCTGCAAAGGCAATTAAAGAAAGCAAAAGATCAGGCTCAGGACTTCTGGCTTCTACTTATCCATTTCACAATTCTTTTATCCCTGTGAAGTTGGCAAGAGTTTTATTTGGGGAGGAAATTTAATGTTCAAAATATCATAAACTGGCAAAACAAGAATGAGAGACAGACAGAAACAGTATCAAACCTGAATAATACATGTTGAAATGCTGCAGGCAGCCAATCTGAGAAATTTAAGATGTGGGCACTGTCGTGGGCTGCACTTCCATTGTTTGCAGGGAGAGGAATAACCTAACTCTGTTGCCAAATCAGCTGATAACACACGGGACCAAGGGAGGACTCAGAAGAGGCATCCTAACATCGGCACCTTGTCCAAAGAACTATACATCTCTGCAGGACCGTGCAAGGATTGTGTCCTTTCCTTTGCAAGTTGAAATATCAGCTATGCCCCTCTGTTCCCATTCCAGGTTCAGGGCTGGAATAGCCTCCAGTGATGGAAAGGCATGGCTAGGTCTCAACAGTTGTGAGCATGAGCTGAAGCCAGTGGCTCATGAGTCTCCCACCCTCAACTCTTGCAGCCCCTTAAAAACTACACATGAGTATACAGGGCACAGGTCTCTGACAGATGAGTCAGAGAGCAACTGAAGGGGGCAAAAAAACATTGTAGTACAAAAGTTCTTATTAAAAGAGGAGAGAAGTGGTCATGGCATTGCCCTAGCATCTGGCTGATCCAGGTTTAAATTCTGTGTTTTACCATGGAGTATGAAACCCCTCAAGGCTAGAAAGCACAATAGACTTAGGTGCTTAAGTCCAAAGTATAGATCCTCTATTCCCCCAACTCTGGGGTACCTGCCACTGATGAGCATGCTTCAATAAAGTTTGAGCCAAACAGGGCTGGAACCCACCCCATCCAGCTCCTAAGTTAGTACCTTGAACATTAGGCCATAAAGTCACACTCCTCTTTGCCATAATGAATATTTAGTTAGTCTAGTTAGTAAATGCATCCATTCTTCAATAAAAAGGACGGAGCGTGAATGCTCCAGAATACCATGTGGTCAGGAGGTTAGAGCGCTCTTCTATGAGAGGGTGTGAGCCCACATGCTCCTTGTCCTCCGAGGGAGGAGGGAATCTAACCAAGGCCTCTGACACTGCCAAGAAATGCTCTGCTCACTTTGGTACTCCATAAAAGGGTTTGTTGGGGGAGGTGAGGACAAGGAACGGACAGAAAAGCTGCACCACATTTTGAGAGGAAGGACTGACCCCTGCTCAAGTTTTGAAACAGAACTTAAAAACCTAGCCCAAAGACAGGGTCCAGGTATCTGAATTTGGAGTCAGTGGAAACACCTTCTTCCAGGCCAGAGTAGGGCACCCAAGTGTAACAGGATCCACTGGTTGTGATGGGAAGGGTGTTTCCTTGTGCCTACTTTAGTCTCATCCCTTCCAGTCTGGTCTCACTCCAGGTACCACCCAGTCCCAGATTGCCACACCTTTTCTGTTATTAGTAACTCTGGGAAGTTGCCTCCAGAGAACCAGAACAGTGGTCCCAGGTGCCCTGCCCAGCACCACCTCTTGGGCTCTGATGGACTCGTCACAGTTCACAGGGGACCTAGCAGGCCACCAATTCAACAATAATCTAAGCCCCTCTGCGGGGCATCTTCAGTTGCCTCCTTTTCTCCCCTCCAGTCACTTCCACGCCTTGTGGCATGAACAGCAACATAAGGCAAAACACAAAAACACAATGTAGTGCAGCTGGGGGACCTTTCTTTAAGCTCTCCCCAGGCTTCTGCTCAGCTCTGCTAGCTTCTCCCAGCTTGAACCCTCCTGGGCCTGCTCACAGTTCCTCCAGCCTCCTGTATTGCTTCTCCATTCAGTGCAGGGAACTCCTTCAGCAACCACCGCCAGGGACAGTCTCCAGTAGGGCTGTGCAAAGCTTCGGGTGGCGATTCGATTTGGAGGAGATCTGGCCCGATTCAGTGGCCGAATCTCCGAATCGAATCAGGGGATCAAATAAAAGGTCCAAATTGATTCGAAGCTCTCTGAATCTTCGGAAAAGATTCGGAGAGTTTCGATGATTTGGGCAGTCTCCGGTGGCTGCAGCAGGGAGCTGGAGCTGGACTCGGAGCTGGTAAGTAGGGGATGGGG